TTTACTCTCTTGATAATATCATTAAAACAAGGTTTTATATAGTTCTTGTTATTTATCTTGTTCCATTTGTTTGCCTAATGGAAGATTTTCTTTTAATATTGGGATAATGCTTTGTTGTTGTTGTATTAATTTGTTGCTAAGAAAATGACCAACAAGTAAAACACGCATAATCTTACCAAGCAAAATGTTTCAGCATGCACTAAGCAAAAAGTAGCATGTCAAGATATAATGGGAACTTTAACGAAAAACCACATTTTTACACTAAAAAGTCAATCATGATACTATTTACTTTACCCTTTATTTTGTATTTATCGTTAAAAGTCAAAGTTTTCAAACATTTTTAATTAGTTTTCCTTATAATTAATGTGTAAACTTGTTTTGATTAGCATATTCAGAGGTGCTCTACAAAGTATGAACTATAAAGGCTTGCTTGGTGAGCCCGTTACGACATGTTGTGGACATTTAAAACGGACTTGAGTCTTAATCAATGTTTGATATGCTTAATTGAGGATCACAACGAAATTCTTTTTTGGACCCAAGTACAGAAAACCATCAGAATCATAATATCTCTGTCGGCATAGGTTACAAGTCACTCGCGCATTCTCCAGCTACAACCTCTAGTCGTCAACTTCAGCTTAACAACATAAAATAAATGGAAAATTTGATTCAAGTAAATAAATAATTTTAATACTTTAGCTTAGGTTCATAGTCATTTCATTTCCTAGTATAGACATTGAAAAAGAAAATCATTGATTATGTGTTATTGATTAAAAATGATTTTCTACACTATGAAAAATAGGAAATGTTTGGACAATGATTTAAAAAGAAAGACCCTTGGACCAATCCTTGGGTTAAACTAACCCAAACCATCTCTAACTAGGGGTGGGCAAATGGGTCCTGGACCCGCGAGTCGGGGCAGATCCTTGCTGACACGCTCTGATTCCGATATTCCTCAAATACCAGGATAGGCATGTGCTGACCGACACCCAAGGGTGACGAAAGCCATTTATTAAGTGCAAATACTGAAAATAAGGAATAGATAAAACTTATAATTGTAAAAGAATAAGGAATATGCATTTAAGGAACGTGTTCAGAGCATACAACTAACTAGAACACTAAAGGAAATAATATAAAATTAGATGAACAAATGAGTGGATCCTACACCGAGAGAACTCGAAGATGCCGATGCAGAAGTGCCTGAATGCCGGGATTGTATACCTTGATTCTAAGTCCTGAAGGGAGCGCAAAACAAACATGAGTGGACCAAGTTGATATAGATATAATAAAACAGTTATCAACATACTAACCCCCATGTTTTATGAAAACACATATATCATGATAAACATAGGTTTTCCGAAGCTTAGCATGCCGTGTAATGTCTCAAATCATAACTTGTATATATAATAATCACTAGTGAGTGTCCAATAACCCCCAGGCCCCATGCCGGCTCCCCGTCTCCCCGTCTCTGAGCAGACAGTTAGAGGAAAATACACTTCAGGTCTCATGCCGGCTCCCCGTCCCTGTGCTAAATAGTCAAAGGAAACACACTTCAGGCCCTATGCCAACACCATAATCGTCGTCCGGGACGGACCAGAATCTATCCCTACGTCTCGTAGCGGAAATGACCACTAGGTAAGTACAAAACTATTGAACATATCTATATTGAAAAACAACTTCATAGTATAAAGTCATTCATCATCTATACTATAAAGATGTGTTCGAATCATGTTCTAAATATCATATCGTCATCCATCGGATATTCTATAAGAACATGGGTTCTAGGAAAAATAATAGTAATTCAATCTAGCCTCAATAAGCATCTTATCTCAAAGCATTTCATAGAACATAATCGTTAAATCATGCTTTTCATGTATACATATCTACTATCAGAACATGCATTTATAGAAGGGGTCCACTCACAATACTTCACCGCCGAAAAGCCACGCAACCTATCGAAGAAGGAACGCTGCATATAATTGCCCCTAAGCACATAAAGGGTCCAATTATTAAAACTCTATTATAACAATTGAATCTGGGAAAACGGACGTCAGAAACGGGTTCAGGACGTTGAATTACCCTAAGAAGGGTCCCGGTTAAATTTCGTAAACGTAAATATAATATTCCAAAGAATATTCCCTAACAAAATATGAAATATTCCCTAATGGAATATTCCACAAGAAGGCTTGAGTCGGCTAGGGTTTAGGGTTGGTAGGGTTAAAGGGTTTAGGCTTAGGATGCACGAGCCTAAGGCCCTAAAGGAAAATGGCTTCAAGGCCTTAGGGTTTTTTAAAATCAATTAATAAAAAAAAATAATTAAAAAGGTTGGGGTTGGGCTTAGGGCCCCCAACAGCTACAGCCCAAAGGTCTTAAGCCTAAGGGTTTTAAAACAAAAACAAAATAAATTAAACTAAAAAGGGGTTTTGGGTTTGAAATAAAATAAATAGAAACAAAAAAAAAAAGAGTTGGGTTGGGTTTAAGCACAGCCCAAAGGGCCTGCTTCAAATGGGTTTAGGCCCGAAGGCCTTGGTTTCTTGGTCTCGCCGGAGAAGAAGGCCATAATTCAGCCGGAACTTCCCTAACTTTAAACGTTCATAACTTTGTCAAAACTTAACGAAATTGAGTGATTCAAAAAAGGAAAGTTGTAGCTCTCAAAGAGAAAAAGAGAATGGTACCATAGACGACGTCTAAGTCGCCATGGTTTGACCGGAAAATGCCTCGAAAGCCTCAGAGGTCGCCGGAAACTGGGTAAGATTCAAATGAGTATAACTTCTTCAATACTCAATGACATTGGGTGAAACAAAAAGGAAAGTTGTAGTACTCAGCGAGACGAAGAGATTGATACCTTGCACGTCGGCCAAATCACCGTGGTTTGCCCGGAATTTGCCTCGAAAGGGGCGGTCTGCGTCGGAGCTCTCGTACGGGGCTTCATGGTTCGACTTCCAAAATGCCAAGACTATGGTTGAATTCGTAGTGACGAGATAAAGACGATGGTGATGTTGAAATTGTGATTTGATGATGATTTTAGGATATGGTTTATGGGTGTGGCACGGTGAAGAAGAAGAAAGAGAGAAAGTGAGGGAGAGTGACGGGAAAAAGAGGGAAGAAGGAGACCAAAAAGGGGATGGGCCCCACGTGACACACAATTTAACACCAAAAACAATTTTTAAAAGAAAACAATACCCAAAACAAAATGAAATTACATTATTTTTAGGGATGGGGTTTTACACTTGCGGTTCAGATGAGTACGGGGTGAGTCCAAAAGTTATAAATACAAAACGGGACAGGGCGGGCCGATTCTTGAAAAATAACGGGGCATGCCGGTTCTAAAAATTGGAGAAAACGGGCCCTCGGCCCGGACTGTTCTCTACCCTCAAATCTGTATCTTTTTTTTTTGTCAAAGATACCCTTTAATCTCTTATCCTCAAACCCACCCAATTTGGCCAATTCACTTAACTCTCCCCTCACCTCACCCACTTTTTATCCCGACTCTGACTTCGACTCTCCTCCCTCGATCTCTCCTCCTTGAATCTCCTTTCCTCTCTCGTCTAAGATTCAATCTCGAGCCCAGGCTCCCATTTCAGATTTCAATCTTGAGCCCAGGCTCCCAAATCATATGGCATGCGTGAAAGCCCTCCAACAGAACAACTTCAACCTTAGTCGCTGATCGACCACTCATTCTCCGACATGCTGCAGATGCTAGCCCAACTCGACCCTGTTTGACTCACTAGAAGGATCAGCAAACAACAAGGATAAGGTGATGTTGGAGGTTTAATTGGGGAAGCAAAACTGTAACGTGGTGGCATGCGAAGGGTTGGACCGGGTCGAGAGGCACGATTACCATCGTGGCATCTCTCCTAACTCTCCATCGTGGCATCCCTAGGTAATTTATGAATTAGGATTTCTGATTTTGTTTTGATTCATCAACTAATGTAATTTGTAATGGCGAGGGTGGAGGTCTTGGATCCGTGAGGAAGACGACGTCTCTAGTATGATTTTTCGATTTTCCGATTTGGTTATTTGTGAGATTGATTTGATGTAGTTTTGTGTGTAAGTGTAATGGGTTCTGTTAGAAACTATGGATCTGGGATTTCATGGTTTGCTTATTTCGGGACATGCATGGAAGAATCGTACATGTGCGAAGTATATACATTGATTTGGTTGTGTTTAAACACATGCAGTGCAGAAATGTTTGTAGGATTTGTTTTTCTGTGTTCTGAGTAGTGCAAATGAGTGTCTAAAATGGATGGTTTTGCTTATGCTTCTGATCAGCAGATCGGCGCCGTTCCAAAATTGGAAAAAAGAAAAGAAAAAGTAATTGGACCCGTGGACCCATTTCGAACTGGCCTGTTTCAAACGGGCTGGGTTATGTTCGATTCCTAAACTCAAATTCCTTCTATCTGGCCTGGCCCAACCCCACCCGTTACATTTTAAAATGGGTAGGGCCAGGTTCCTCCAAATTAAGGCCCGGCTCAGCCCGTGCCCAACCCTATCTCCAACCATGTGGCCTAAAATAAGTTTTGAGTTAAAACCTAAAAGTTGAGCAAATTTCCCAAAAAATTGGCCAAACCTATTTTTGTGGCCACTTTTGCGCGTGGATGCGCTAGAAAGAGCCAGTCTCAGCCCAACCCACACCGGAACAACAAGAGTTAGAACCACCTGTTGGTTAAACTTAAAGTTTTGGGTTAAACTTTAAATATTCTTGGTTAAAATGTTTAGATTTTAATCAAGAGTTAAAATCGCAAATAAACTCTAACCCCAAATACACTCTCCATTTTGCCCTCCTTATTTTCACCAAACCAAAGCCAAACCTTGGTAAATAAAACGGTCAACGAGCCCCTTCCTGTCATTTCTCTCCCCAAAACCCCTCACACACCACACACCAGGTAAAGCAGTACGGCTCCAAAATTTCAAAAAAAACCAACCTGATTTTTATTTTTTTTCCTCTAGAAACCCCACGTTGATCTGTGAAAAGACCAAAAAGTCCAAATTCCCCAGGCCTCAACAAAATTCCCCTTTCTTCATGCAAAAACCCATTTCACTCTCCCACCATCTCACTCTCTCTCTCTCTCTCTCTGGTCATCAGAGTCTCGGAAGAGAGTGAAAGCGACAGCGGAAGAGGAAAACGGCGCCGTTTGCGAGGGTAAGCTCCCTCTGCCGGCCAATTTTTGTGTCATTTGCGAATTTTTTTACTGAAATTGTTTTTTTTGGTTTCAAAAGCTTTGGAGTATAGCTCTCACTCCGTTGAAAAACCCTTTTGGGTTTTTGGTTTTTAGGGTTTTCAGGGCTTATTCTAGGATTTTGGAGTTGAACCCCCGGTTTCAGAGTACGGAGGAATCGAAAAATTGTGGTAATTTTTGCTCTAAATTGTTTGCATTTTGCTATTTGGTGTTTGGTTGCTGAGAAAATGAGGGACTTTTTAATGGGCCTTTTTTTTTGCTTGGAAAATTTAACGGGGGAAAATGTTGCACATTGGTTAATTTTCTCTCAGTTTCTCAGTGACCAAAAGGACCTCTCTCTCTCTCTCTCTCTCCCCCCTCTTGCTCTGTATCTAACTGTGACGCTAAATACATTTGCTCTGCGTTTTGTTTTCTAGGTTCCAGTTAGGGTTTTTTTTTCCGGCCTGCATCGTAGCTCCAAGTACGATCAGACCCGAAGACTCTGGTAATTTTTGTTCTTTCCTTTTGCTGCATGTTTATTTTGTGTTTGGTAGCTGAGAATTGGATGAAAATTTATACCTTGTTTAGGTTTTTTGCTGAGTTCTGCTGGCCTTTTTTAATTCTTTCCTTTTTCTTAGAAACCATCAGATTTCTTGTATATCGTTTGCCTTTAACTTATTATTAATTTTAATTGTTTTAGAGGTTGGTACCTCCCACAAACTAACTTTTTCTTAAGTTTCTAGCTTAATAATTTTGTCTATGGTATATTTGCATGTTGATTTTGCTGTAATAGCTACAGTTGTCTTACTTTATATATGTTTCCCTGTCTCTTCCATGGCAGTTTCTTAAAGGAAATGGAGGAGGTCTCGACCTCGAATATTTTGGATGGGGAGATCGTTGGAATCAAATTTGGTTTAGCAACTCATCAAGAAATTGTAAGTAGAAATTTGACATTTAATTTGAGTAGTTATTGAGTCTATGCCATCTAAAGCTGAGAGGCCTTAACTACATTAGTTTGTTTCTAAAAAATAAAATTGCATTCATGGGATAGGATTTCGAGGGAGAATTCTGATTCATTTCTTGGAGGGAGTGGTCTTTAGAGTCCATATTGAATATTCACATTCTAAGCTCATATAAGGCTCCATTTACGGCCAAATGAAAATTATGGCTTTCCATTGGTCAAATGTAATATGCCTTCAGCAACGTGTTCCCCGTATTGTTCTTGTTAAAAAAAATAAAGTAAAAGATGCCTTCACAACTAACTCGTGACTAGTGTCTATGGGAGAGTAAATTAGAAAATCACCTCCAGCAAAGTGTTTTTTACAATTCGTTTCTTTACTACGAAAATCAACCTTTGGAATAATTTGTTTATACTTTTATGTTTACATTTTTGGCAGTGTACAGCATCTATTAGCGATTGCTCTATCAGCCATGCAAGCCAGCTTTCCAACCCATTCCTTGGCCTGCCCCTTGAGTTTGGAAAGTGTGAATCTTGTGGCACTTCCGAACCTGGGAAATGTGAAGGTAAATAAATTTCATTTCTCAACCTTTGGTACAGTGAGTTAAAATATACAATGTTGCCAAACAAGTCAGATGTAAGAAACATATTATACATTGAAATTTGAAAGAGTATGATTGGAAACGTAAGAAAGTGTATCCTTTATCCCTTTTCAGGTCATTTTGGGTATATTGAGTTACCAGTACCAATATTTCATCCCAATCATGTTAGCGAATTGAAGCGGATGCTGAGCTTATTGTGCTTGAAATGCTTGAAAATGAAAAAGAACAAGGTACCACCTGATTGAGTTTTTCATTGTTTATAATTGCTGCTATGATCATCACTTACTAAGCAGAGGCAATATATCCCCTTGGTTAGCTTGTTATTTGGACTTTTGTTGTCTGTTAAGGGAAGATATGCAGATTTGTGTTTGTTATAGTTTCAGCTGAGGAACAAAGAATAAAATGATTTACAATTTTACATGAAGAAGCAGTTGAATTTTGAACCTATTTACTGTGTCATTCAATCCAACCATTACTAAACTGCCTTTTTGTTTTTTAATTTATCATTTTGTACAAGTGCCCTTTATTGCACTGTATTTGTCATCTGTGGATTGATCTTGTTTCTTTTCTTTTAAATCTTATAAGTTTGCTTTATTTTCCTAATTTTCTCAAAAAGAGTCTGAAGTTTGAACTTAATTCTACAGAATCCACGATTGTATTATGTGAATAGTTCTTTGTCGACCACAATCTCACAATATTTTTGTTTTTGTTAACATGTCGTTGGAGGAAAAATTGTCTGTGACTGTGGGTTGCCCTTCAATTTCTATATTCTGTAAAGTGGTTGAGAACACTTCATATTTGAGTAGCAAATTTTTATTTTTAAAAACTATATAGTTAACTGGCAATGTTTTCTTATCATAAAAATCTCTGTGCTTATAGCCTTATATTCTGTATCCATTTTTTTACTATTCAGTTTCCAACCAAGAATGCTGGCTTAGCAGAAAGAATGTTAGCTTCATGTTGTGAGGTACGTATAAATTAATCGTTTCCATTTTTCATGATGTGAAGTATGCTCACTGTATCTAGAAATTTTGTGGATTTATCGCTCTCTGATTTCCTTACGGGCGCACAAGCACTTTCACACCCTCTCACCCAACCACTAATTCTAATTTAATCAAATACATGGTTTTTGAACCTTAGTTGCACAACTATCACTACATGGTTCTAGTTTCTAGTTAGAAATGTTTCACTATGGTATGTTTCAATTGCCAGTGCATCTTTGGTTTATTGAAGTTCTGTTTTAGTAATTCAAGTTTCCTAAAAGTTTTATTTGGAATGGCACTACATTCCATGAGCTCGCAAAAAAGATCAATACTTGAAATCTTGATGGTGTCAGTAATCCTGGTTTAGTTTGTTTTGTTTTCCCTAAATTCTTGTAAAAAAAGGTCAATTGTGTATTAGGTTATGTGTTCTAGAACATTATGTGTGTTATTATCTCGTATGTTTTCCTTTCTTGGGATGTTCCTGCCCTTATTAGGTGTTCAGAGGTTTGATTCTTTCATTTGGAGTACTATGTTTAAAGATTGAAATTATAGTTAGATAAAGTTGTTTGTCAACCGTCAAGAAATGCTATACTTGTTTTTTTTTTTTTAAAGTCTGTTACATTTAATTTTATATAAATTGGAATACTTTGTGATATGTTCTCTCTTCATCTCTCTTCATTTTCCATCTACTAGTTTTATGCCCTCTCATTCCTTCTGTAGGATGCTGCACAAGTGTGTATTGGAGAGACTAAACCAACAGATAGCTCTTGTTCCTTGCAATTGAAGCGACCTTCTAAATCAAGAACACCACCTGGTTTTTGGAATTTCCTCGAACGATATGGTTTTCGTTATGGCGATGATCATATACGTACTTTGCTTCCTTGTGAGGTATGCTTCTTGCTTCCTGACTGAATCCCTATCATCTCACATTCTTGGAACTTGAATTGAATTTTATTGTCCAGTTATGTGGATTGAAGTCTTTGTTTGCTCATAGTTCACTGTTATTTCTACGGTGTTTTTATTAGTGGAAAAGTTTGATGTTTTCCATTAAGAACTTATTTCTAATTTATTAATTTGACTCAAATACAAAGAAATCCTCACTTATCAGTTATCACAGAAATTGACACAGTGAGCACCTTATTTTGGATTCCTCTGTCTTACTTTATTGTATGCATTGATCAGGGGTTGCTATTGCTTCTGCCACCTTCCTTTGGTGTCAACCTTCATGATTGATTTTAGCTCCACTAATTGTTTTGATGGCTAAATTAGTTGAAGTCCTTGTTTGCACACCAATTCATTTGTGGGAAAAGTTTTCTGGTTTACTGTGATCACTACGTCTTAAATCTAGTTCTTACCCACATGCAATCATCCCCCTTATCACAGTAATCTGGCGAAGTTAGCATCTTACTGTTGGATTCTTCATTGAATGGATTGATCAGAGGGTGTTGTTGTCTTCCCTGTGGTTTCAACTGGCACAGTTTATTTTGTTTACAAAATAAATTGATGGTTAACTTAGTTGGCCAGATGTACAGCTCCATGTGGTTTCAACTGGCACAATTTATTTCATTCACTAACTAGTTTGATGGTTAACTTAGTTCACCAGATGTGTATAAGTAGATTCTAACCAAATGATTTTATTGCCAATCACTCATAATGAAAATCATACTTATCTTATATAATTCTGTTGGCCTTTCCTGTTTCTGCTGATTGTAATTGTTGTTCTCCTGATACATATTATTTTGGTAATGACTACCAGGTGATGGAGATGCTAAAGCGTATCCCTCAAGACACCAGGAAGAAACTTAATGCAAGAGGGTATTTTCCTCAAGATGGATACATCTTGCGTCATATACCTGTCCCTCCAAACTGTTTATCTGTTCCTGAAATTTCGGATGGTGTTAGTGTTATGTCTGCAGATCCTTCAATTTCAATGCTCAGAAAAGTTCTAAAGCAAATTGAAGTCATAAGAAGTTCAAGGTCAGGCATCCCAAACTTTGAATCACAAATTGTTGAAGCTAATGAACTTCAAGCCATAGTGGATCAGTATCTTCAAGTTAGGGGTACTGGGAAGGCATCACGGGATATAGATGCAAGGTTTGGGGTAAACAAGGAGCTGAATGCCTCTTCCACTAAAGCATGGCTTGAAAAAATGAGAACACTGTTCATTAGAAAGGGTTCAGGATTCTCTTCTCGCTCAGTAATCACTGGGGATGCCTTTAGAAGGGTAAATGAAGTTGGCATCCCCTATGAAATTGCTCAAAGAATCACCTTCGAGGAGAGGGTTAATGATCATAACATTAGGTACTTACAACAGTTGGTAGATAGCAAGTTGTGCCTAACCTATAGGGATGGATCATCAACTTACTCACTTAGGGAAGGTTCAAAGGGGCACACTTTTTTGAGGCCTGGTCAAGTGGTGCATCGGAGGATTATGGATGGGGACCTTGTATTTGTAAACAGGCCCCCAACTACCCATAAACATTCCCTACAAGCACTACAAGTGTATGTGCATGATGACCATGTGGTGAAAATAAATCCTTTGATATGTGGGCCACTAAGTGCTGACTTTGATGGTGATTGCATCCATTTGTTCTATCCGCAATCACTTGCTGCAAAAGCAGAAGTTTTGGAGCTTTTTTCAGTGGAGAAGCAGCTGCTTAGCTCTCATAGTGGAAAACCAAATCTGCAAATGGCCACTGATTCACTATTGTCATTGAGGATGATGTTTAAGAACTTTTTTTTGGATAAATCAGCAGCTCAGCAACTGGCCATGTTTGCTTCATCTTTGTTGCCACGACCTGCATTATTGAAAGCAAATGCTGCTTGCTCATATTGGACTGCTTTGCAGATATTACAGACTGCATTGCCTCTTGACTTTGACTACTGTGGGGAAAAGTACTTAGTCAATAAAAGTGAGATACTGAAAATTGAGTTCAGTACAAGTGCAGTTTCAGCGGTGATGAATGACATTGCTACTTCAGTTTTTTTTGAGAAAGGGGGCGAGGATGTCCTTAAATTCTTTGATTCTCTACAGCCCTTGCTGATGGAGAATATATTTTCAGAAGGGTTCAGTGTTGGCTTGGAGGATTTTTACATGTCAAAGACATCCATACAAGATATTAAGGAGAATATTCAGGGTACTTCAGATTTGTTGTATCATCTGAGGTCAACCTACAATGAATTTGTAGAGTTTCAGCTAGAGAGTCGAATCAAAAGCTTGAAAGTACCAGTTTCAAATTTTATCTTGGAGTCATCTGCATTCGGTGATTTAATCGACACCAAGAGTGATTCGGCAATCAACAAAGTTGTGCAACAAATTGGGTTCCTAGGCCTACAACTCTCTGATAAGGGAAGATTCTACTCAAAGACATTGGTTGAGGATGTGGCCTCTCTCTGTCACAACAAATATTCTTTTAACTCGGAGTATCCCTCTGCAGAATATGGCCTAGTTCAAAGTTGTTTCTTCCATGGGTTAGATCCATACGAGGAAATAGTTCACTCCATTGCTACACGAGAGGTGATTGTTCGGTCCTCAAGAGGATTGACTGAACCTGGGACCTTATTTAAAAATTTAATGGCCATTCTTCGTGATGTGGTTATTTGCTATGATGGCACAGTCAGAAATGTTTGTAGCAATTCAGTTATCCAATTTGAGTATGGAGTCAATGCTGGATCTAGGCCCCCGAATCTTTTCCCTGCTGGTGAACCTGTTGGCGTGTTAGCTGCCACTGCAATGTCAAATCCTGCGTACAAGGCAGTTCTTGATTCTACCCCAAGCAGCAACTCTTCATGGGAGCTGATGAAGGTAGTTGGCTTGGCTATTGATTATGATGGTGTTTTTCCTTTCAATTCATGTTTTTGATCTTTTATGTTTTCTTTTGCATAAATGTTTTTTGAGCTGATGAAGATACATGCATAAATGTTTATCGTAACTTGAATTTACATCGTCTGTTCTTCAGGAAATTCTACTTTGCAAAGTAAATTTTAAGAATGAGCTCATTGATCGCCGTGTAATTTTGTACTTGAATAACTGTGGTTGTGGAAGAAAGTACTGCCGAGAACGTGCAGCATGTTTGGTTAAGAATCAGTTGAAGAAAGTCAGTCTTAAAGATACTGCAGTCGAATTCATGATTGAGTATGCTCTGCCTCTTCATACTTATTTTTTTGGCAACACTTTCACATATGGTTTTATTTAAGTATGTTTCTAGGAATTTATTTCTCAATCCCTTAGTTCATGTTGATTAAGTTGTCAGTTGTCATATTCCCTGCTTTATCTGCATCAACCTTTCTTGAAAGGTAACCCCACCCACAGTTGAACTGGAAATGAGTACCTGTTACTACCTCTTCCGTGCTTTAAGTTATTTTCTATGCTGACATGCTTTTTCCGTCTCCCACCACACTGTGGCACTACTACCTGCAATTTTAATATTTATTTGCAGCTCTCTTGGTATCTATTTGAATCTGTTGATATCTGTTAGGTTTTTCTAGCCCATGATAAGTTGTCCTAAGTCTATAAGTAATTATGGTCTTAGAGGATTAAATTGTTTACCCAATTGGAGTTAGTTTCTCAATTGGAGTAGGTTTTATAACTAGATTCCAATTAGGATTTAGGATTAATAATCCTTATTGAAGAAGACCTTTATTATGTCTATATAAAGGGGCTATTGTACTAGTTTTGAATTGGAGGGAGCAAAACAATAAATTGTATACCACTCAAGGGATTAGAGTGAGAGAATATTGTAAAGTGTGTGCGAGAGAAAAGAAAAGAGATAGTATATTTCTTGTTCTTGTTCTTTCAGGTTTTTCGTCAAGTCCTAGTTCTAGAGATTTGGCAAGATTATTGGTTGTACTCATTATTGATATAGTGAAAGATTGTTGTTGCTGCCCCGTGGACGTAGGCACATATTGCGAACCATGTAAATTCTTGGTGTTATTTATCTTGGTTATTTGTTTTTCGATTTCCGGAGTTTGTTCTTGTTTTTCCCATTCTTAAACGCGATATTCTCAACAATATCAAGTTCTGCAGATCAAATACGTGGTTTTGTTTTCTAGAAACTCTTGCATGTTTCTCAGGAGATTATGCTTTAAGAATTCTGGAAGAATTATTTGTTATGCGAATAAGTGGATGTAATTCATTTTATGTCTATAAATGTGTGATTTGCTAACTAGGAAAGGTTTTGCCTTTGCTGAAATATATATTTAACAGTCTGCAGCTTCTTTTTGCATAGCTTGGGTTAACCATGCAAAGTTCCAGTTTAATAATAGTTAGATACTCAAGAGCTGATCAATATAGTAATAGTTGTGTACCTGATAATAGCAGAGTGTAATCTTCACTTCCACTTTTGTGAGAATATGTTTCTCTGTTACTACCAACATATTATTTGGTCACCATGTCATTGACAAGAAATTGAGTTTTGCATCTACTACACTTTGTACTTATTTGCAGTGGTATAAAATTAATGTGTGGGCTTGAAAAAGTTTGTGTTTTACATGCAGATATAGCAATCAGCTTTCTAGTTTGGGAAGTATGGTAAATGATGCAGGCCTAGTTGGCCATATTCATCTCAATGAGGTTTGCATAGTTCAATGTGTTGGAATGTTTTCTTTATATTTTCATTTACGAAGTTGCTATTACTTCATAGTTTGGGATAACGAGAGCTTTATTGAACAGGAGCTGTTACGGGAGTTAAATGTTGGTGTAGACGAGATTCAACAAAAATGCCAAGAAACTGTTAATTCATTTCGGAGGAAGAGAGTTGGGAAGAAGAAGTTCAACATTGGCTATCTTTTCAAAAATACAGTTTTGTTTGCCAGGTCTTTTCCCCCCCTCTCTGATTGGATCATATTTATGTTTACCAATTGCCTTATTGACTTGATCATTTATGTTTTCCTAATGAGGCGAGGACACAGCCTCAATTGATTTTGGTCAATATGATATTAATAAATTTTACTGATGAAAGTTATGGAACATTATGAGCTATGCTGTTATTCTTTGCTTATTTTATAGTGGTTTTTTGTTTGAATTTATTTGGCCCTTTTAGTTATGCTTCACTAAGATAAAGGAAGGAAAAAGTTCTGAAAGGAAAGGGGAGGTGAAAACATAATAGCTTGATAAGAGAAACGCCACCAGTACAAAGTCCACCACAGTAACATGGGCAGATCATTCTTGTTATTACCATAAAACGTAAATATGTGTAAGATTATAAATATATATATTGTATTTGTTTGTGTTCTGGAACCCTGACTGTTTACTGGATTTAAGAGCGCTAGAGATACTGAAATTTTCATGTCAAAAGAAGATTCGTATTTCAAAAATCATTTGCATGTGGCAGTTGCCTACTATCATAATCATATACAATGTTCATACTTGTATGACTTCCCCTTCCCCTATTGTGTTCCTAAGTTTACTTGTGTCTCCGCTTTAAACTACTTAATGATAAATGCTTCATTGTTTGCAGTGAGCATTGCTCTTTTCATCATTCCTGTGCAGACAAAGGATCTGACTCCCCGTGCTTGATGTTCTTCCTTCAAGCTACTGAAGAGTTGGAAACCACTTCGCAATACTATGCTGATTTGATTTGCCCTGTGCTTTTAGAAACAATAATAAAAGGTAGCTTTTGGAGTGATTTTCTAAAGAGTGAAATACTAATTTATTATTTGAGTTTCCTTGTTTTCCAGTGAATCTTGGTCTTTTGATTTGTTTTGCCAACTCACATCTAAAACAGGAATGTCAGTGATTATATGCAATTTGTGTGTTTTGCTTCTGTCTGTCTTATTGAAGTCCTACTTCTATTTGTTTTTTTAATAGAAAAATCCTACTTCTCTTCTGTCTCATGAACCTCATATTTACTTTTTTTTCATCCCATCCCAAGGTACACGTTTTTGTTGTGTTAGTTGCGTATGGGATGGCCATTACTTGTGATCATATCCAACGTAAGAGGCCAAATATGTGCCTATCAACAGTTTAGTGTTAAACTCTGCAAGAATGCAGTCGAAATATTCATAATTTATTTCTAGGTTGAGTTGTGCATTTTCATCCTCTTGTATAGTAATTAATGTATTAGTTGGAAACATTGTACTTTGAGGAGGCAAGTAAAAGCTTAGTGGAACTGTGGGTATGATGACTTCTTTTTTTTTTTTTTTTTTTTTGTTTTTTTGGTGGTGGGGGTGGGATTCAGTTGGATTCTATTGCTAGAAATTTGTAGGAAAAGTTTGGAGAGGTGCAGTGGCCTTGACGGATAGAGTGAAGGTTTTGACGTTTTAGCTTTAAGCATTAGTAATGCCTGAGTTGAGAGATAGTCCTTTCATGATTCTTGATCAGATTGGGTGCAGTTAGCTGATCTTTGGACTTTTGATGCTGGTGATAGAAGCAGTTTTTTATTTGACTTATTGTAGTTTTTATTAGATGGTGGACATGTTGTTTACTGCTGGAAACTATATTGTAACTCTTCTATTAGTAAAGTCTTAATGTCTCTAAAATGGACAGGTGACCCACGGATTACCTCAGCAAATATAATTTGGATTGATCCCGATACAACAACTTGGATTAGAAGTCCAAATAATTCTCAAAAGGGTGAATGGGCCTTGGATGTTGTTCTGGAGAGATCTGTTGTCAAGCAAAGCGGTGATGCATGGAGAATCGTTCTCGATTCTTGCCTCCCTGTGCTTCACCTAATTGACACCAGGCGTTCCATCCCGTATGCTATCAAACAGATTCAAGAACTATTGGGAGTGTCTTGTGCTTTTGATCAAGCAGTTCAGGTAAAATCAGAGGTTCACAATTTTCCTTCTTTCTACTGCGAATCTTGAACTTTATGATCCTATATCAGAAGTCATGCTAGCTTTTGTGGCTAGCTGTTTATATTATGGGTTGTTATAGGGCTGTGTATATCATGTTTTGTGTGTGTCATTTAGTATTAGGCACTAACTCAATTTTTATTAGCCATTTTATGTTTTGATACAGCTTGAAACTCAAAATTTTAGACATGGACTTAGTTGTCTCCAAGCCAAGTTCATTACTCATAATTCAATACACCTTTCATGTGAAAATTGCATTCAATCCATGTGCAAGAAAATCTAGGAAAAAACTCCTGATTCTAGAGAGATTCATTCAATAATACCAATCAAGAAGTACACAGGAAAAAATCTGAAATTTTCCTCATACAATACCAATTAAATAGTTTCTTCTGTCAAAATCTACTGTTTGATACTAGCTCAACCTTTTTATCGTTCGTTAACGAGTAGATAAAATTCAGATACACGTTGAGTAATCGCGGTAATATTGTGTTTGGTGATCATATTATGCTGCTGCATTACTAGGAAATTATCACCTATAGTGTCCAGTAGTTTCTGTGTGTCTAATAAGCTTCTCTCCCTTTGGAGTGTTTGACATGCTAGACTTCTGGTTAACTCTTTGCTTCCTTATTTATTTATTTTCTAGTGGGCATGCTTTATCACAGCCGACCCCACTTAGTGGGATAAGGCTTTTTTGTTGTTGTTGTTCGGCATACTTTATCACATCAGTTGTGTATATATTTGGATGTATATTTATTATACTACGATTTATTTTCTATACTTGTATCATTTCACCATTAGTTATGGTTCAGCCTTTCATGTGACTGATCTTCATTTAGTATGGACCTTATTTTGAATTTTGAATTTTTTTTTTTGGAATTGTGTGCTGCATTTGTGGTTTCCTCGGGCATGCCACCTTTTTTTAGTCCTGTATCATCATGTGCATCTTATGAAGTTTAACATTTTTAGTTTTCAAGGAAAATTGGATCATATTAGACCAACACTGGGTGATATGAGATACGTATTGTACTTTTCTACTAAGAATTCATTTTTGGATTTTATTACGCAGCGCCTCGCGACAGCTGTTACAATGGTGGCAAAAGGTGTCCTGAAAGAGCATCTTATCCTCCTGGCGAATAGCATGACATGTGCTGGAAATTTTGTTGGCTTCAATTCTAGTGGATATAAAGCACTATCTCGAGCATTGAATATTCAAGTACCATTTACAGAAGCAACACTTTTTGTGAGTAATTGAACTCTTGCCTAATTCTATAAATGACATTTACCTATAGTTTGTTGTTAGATGAACTACAATCACAACTAATTGTAGTTTCATTACATGTGGCTGTAGACACCAAGAAGGTGCTTTGAGAGAGCAGCTGAAAAGTGCCACATGGATTCTTTGTCAAGCATAGTTGCATCATGTTCATGGGGTAAACATGTTGCTGTTGGTACTGGCTCCAGGTTTGATATCCTCTGGGACACAAGAGAGGTAAATATGATTTTTAACATACTTCTAGTTTTTCCCAGCTGTATGGTAGTTTAATCTGCTGCTGGAATGTTCCGTGCCATTTAATTTAAATATTAATATTTTGTTTTTTCAGGGAGGATTGAATCAAGAGGGTGGACTAGATGTTTTCAACTTTCTGCATATGGTGAGCACAGCAAATGGAGAAGAAGCAACTACAGGAGCACTGGGGGCAGAAGTTGATGATCTTATGGTGGTAGATGAATTAGCAGATTCCTGCTTGTCGCCAGAACTTGACTCTGGTTTAGATAAGCCCGTCTTTGAAGATATTATAGAATTTGAGGAATCAGAAACTCTTCCTGGAAAGTCAAGTTGGGAAAAAGATTCCTCTGTATGGGGGACAAATCGTACAAGAGAAGATGCCACATCATCGTGGGATAAAAATGATACATCATCGTGGGATAAAACTCCAGCCAAAGAACCTGCCACATCTACATGGGGGATAGGCAAGGCAGCAGAAGTTACTACTCCTGCATGGAGGGCAAATACTGCTGGAGAAGCTTCCACATCTGCCTGGGGGGAAACTGGAGAGCCTACCACTTCTGCCTGGGGGGCAAGTAAGGGAGGTGAAAATGATTGGAGTGGTAGAGTGGCAGAGAAAGTTGCACCAATAGACCTCCAGCCGACAATAAAAGCCGTAGATGAAAAGGACAATGGATGGGGTGCTGTTTCTCCTAGGGAAACAGAAACAGGGAATGACAATGCTTGGTCTAGTGGGCAACAGAAAAAGTCTTCTGAAATTTCGACCAGTTCTTGGGGGCAGAAAAATCCTCCTGAGACAGAAACTCAACCTTGGGGTGCTGTTTCTTCTGGGGAAACAGAAACAGGGAATGACAATGCTTGGTCCAGTGGGCAACAGAAAAAATCTTCTGAAATTTCTACCAGTTCTTGGGGGCAGAAAAATGCTTGGTCTAGTGGGCAACAGAAAAAGTCTTCTGAAATTTCGACCAGTTCTTGGGGGCAGAAAAATCCTCCTGAGACAGAAACTCAACCTTGGGGTGCTGTTTCTTCTGGGGAAACAGAAACAGGGAATGCCAATGCTTGGTCTAGTGGGCAGCAGAAAAAGTCTTCTGAAATTTCGACCAGTTCTTGGGGGCAGAAAAATCCTCCTGAGACAGAAACTCAACCTTGGGGTGCTGTTTCTTATGGGGAAACAGAAACAGGGAATGACAAGGCTTGGTCTAGTGGGCAACAGAAAAAGTCTTCTGAAATTTCGACCAGTTCTTGGGGGCAGAAAAATCCTCCTGTGATAGAAACTCAACCTTGGGGTGCTGTTTCATCTGGGGAAACAGAATCAGGGAATGACAATGCTTGGTCTAGTGGGCAACAGAAAAAATCTTCCGAAATTTCTACCAGTTCTTGGGGGCAGAAAAATCCTCCTGAGACAGAAACTCAACCTGCGAGCTTGTCTGGGTGGGATTCACCTAGTGGAGATGGTAATACTGGTGAAAGACATCACCAATGGGGGCAGAACAAGAAAAGTCGTTTTGAAGGTTCAAAGAGTTGGGTTTCTAGTCCCGGGGAGTGGAAGAATAAGAACCGTCCTGCCAAACCACCTGGTATGGTGAATGATAACTCTAGTGTGGTTGGACTCTATACTGCAACAAGACAAAGATTGGATATGTTCCCTAGCGAGGAGCAAGACGTTCTTTCTAAAATTGAACCTGTTATGCGCTCTATCCGAAGAATAATGCATCAATCTGGGTTAGTTTTCTGTTTATATTCTTTCTTAACAATTAGGACTAGACTGATCGAATTATCTAAAGTATATGATACTTTTCAAATTAACTGGGTTAGTTTTCTGTTTATATTCTTTCTTAACAATTTTGACTTTGAGATGTCTTGTCTGAAGTAAGAATCCATTTAAATCCAGGGAATTTCTTGACGAAATCCTCCCTCAGTCGAAAATAATGCGTTAACATTTGAAGTGTTATACTCGCATGTAGTGCAACGATGTTGTTTCATATTCACCTGTCAAAGCTCTAGTTGAGCCTGAGTCTAAGACTGAAGTCCCTCCCAAAACATCATCGTAGAACATAGTTAGTTTTCAAACTCTTGGGGCTCCAAGTTTAAAGATAAAGTTTGGAGGTTGTGGACTATTTATGAGATACGGGTTGGGTTTTGGCACCTCTCTGTGGGCTTTGGTGTGTATCATGGTTGCCGTTGCCCATTCTTTTCAATTTCTACTAGAAAGCCGCTATGTCGTAGTTGTCCTGATTGTAGTGTGGGTGGTTTTGGTTCTATTTTCTGCGTTGTTGGATGCTGTACTGTCATAGTTTTAATATCTTGGTTATTGCAGTTTGTGGGCAGCATATTTGTGGACTGCTGGTCCACTTTGATTGTACTTCCCATTCATATTAGTTACTATTTGTTTTCTTTTGATGTATGAAGTCTAAAGTCTATCTTTATATAAAAAGTAAGCATAAGAACTATAAAGGAAATGCATCTGATAACTTACTGAATTCACGTGTTACATTTGACTTTGCTTTTGAGATGTCTCAAGGATATCATATTTTCACTGATCTCCATATGAAGGAATTGATTTCATTCTGGGGCATTATATCCGCTTTGCGTATGTTATTGGTGCCTAATTTTGCAACTTTTTTTCTTTCTTTCTTTCCTTTTTTGAATGTTTTAGTTGTTGCAACATCTTTGCTTGGTGCTTGACAATCCTCTAACCTACTATCGGTTTTTAAATTATTCTATCCAGGTACAATGATGGGGATCCACTGTCAGCTGACGACCAGTCATTTATACTTGATAATGTTCTCAATTACCACCCGGATAAAGCTGTTAAAATGGGTTCTGGAATTGGTCATCTCACAGTATGTTTATCTACCCTGTTCTTGCTTAACTGCGTTTTATTTAGAATTATGTTTCAGTGCACTTTTGATACATTATGCTTGGATTCTGTGACTGATTCCATTGTTATATTGGTTATTCTAATGTTCATATTATTTTTTACTGAACTATAACGTTTATACTGAATTTTGTACATTGTCCATTGAGGTAAACTTCCATGTGTTTTGTTGCATGCCTAAATTTGTTCTGCTTCTCAAAACCGTTTTTTATGTCAATAATTAGTTTTTAGCAAAGGGCTGTTACACATAGGAAGATGACTAGACGGGGTTTAGTTGGAAAACCATTTTTTTTTTCTCTATTGGTTTTGCTATTTACTCATAGCTCCCACCCTGCCAAGGCTGGTTGAGTGGATCTAATCTTTCAGATAAGAAGACATTAGAGAAGTATATACTTGTCTTTAAATACGAATTAAGACTATGCTCCGTCTTAAGGGTTTTTAAGTCTGGACTAGTAATGACGGGGAAAGGGTTTTCTTTCATAGTACTTGGAAACATAGCCAGGATGGAATACCTCATCTTATTTACCTTTTCTCAAGAACTACTTGTCTTGTAATAACAAACCCTGTATTGCTTATGTTGTGTTCTTATCGAAAACCAAAAGAAACACAAGTTTCCAAAGCTTTGTTGTTTACGAATGAATTTGGCTTGTGTGTTAATGGACTTATTTGGTTGCATATTGTCCTAATTTACACCGGCCATTGATGACAGGTTGATAGGCACGGCAGTTTCCAGGACAGCAGATGCTTTTTTGTTGTGACAACAGATGGTCACAAGGAAGATTTTTCATATCGAAAATGCCTGGAGAATTACATTAAGGAAAAGTATGCTGATGTTGCGGAAACATTCATAGGCAAGTATTTTACTAGGAGAGGAGGGAATCGGGAGCGAAACCCCACTCCAAGTCAATATCCCATTCCAGAACAGACTCCATGTCAAACTCCCATTGCAGAGCAAACTATAAGTCAAACTCCCATTGCAGAGCAAACTCTAAGTCAAACCCCCATTTCAGAGCAAACTGGGAACGAGGAGACACAATAGGGCATGGCTATTTCCGGGGCATCGGTCGTTTTGAGATTCTGATGTAATTAGATTTGAACATTCTGCCCCTCTACTTTTTGATTTGTATATACTAGGCAGTCGTTAGCAGCTCCTGACAAATCCAGCGTTTCGTTCGTTGATTTATGTTTAATCTGAGAGCATTGATTAGTTAACTAGTTGGTAGCTGCTGGATGCAGTTAACCTGAACCCTGAACTGGGAGAAAAGCAAGCTGCTTGCTTATGTTGCAGTTGCAAAAAAATCAAGTTTTATATATGAAATGCAGAAGTCTTGTCGATGGCCTTCAATGGCTTCCATTGCTCAGTTTATTATGCTTCTGGTTTGGAATTTTTTTTTTATTTAATGTTCTATATTTTTTCTGGTTTAGTGCTTATGATTATGGATGTAAACAAACCAAATCAATTTGGTCAAGCTTCGACGTGCCAAACACGAGCCCAACCCGATTCAAGCTCGAACTGTTTTGAGCCGATTTACAGCCTTACTTGTGATATAGGATTAATGCTTACAACCGGGCCATGATGAATTTCTTTGCAAATGGAAATGAACATGTGGAATTGATGGATATTGGTCTCTGTCTAGACAATCAAAAAGCCCCGAGTATAAATGCTTTGGAGCACCGTAGAATATTTTTTTTAATAATGTGATAATGAATGTGTAAATTGAACCAAGTCAAACTAAACTCGGACTACATTTTATTTGATTTATTTTGCCTTATTTGAAAATCGCTTAAACTAAACCAAACTAAACCAAACCATAACCAAGTACTTGGTTTTACACTTTTGCATTTTCCCCTTATTTGTTATCACAATTTTAATTCAACCCTTAATACCAAAAAGATTAAAATCCTAAACTCATTTGAATTTGATGTAGTTTATCTAAAAAATTCTGAGTCTCAGTCTATTACTTTTTGAATTTACACTATGAAATTCCTTTTATATATATTTGAGGTAATATAACAATATTTTCTCGATGGCTTACAAAGTGAAAAATGATAACCTCATTTTACACAACCTTATTTAATCATGTCCCTTTTTGTCATTTTAAGAGAGCGTATTTGATGATACAATCTAAAAATTACTCTCCCAACACAATTAATATGATTAGGGTTAAATAACTGACTTGGAAACAAGTCAAAGTACTCAAAATTAAACTTATAATGCTTAATCAAAAACAGAAAAGTTACAAATGTTTAGTAAAAAAACTGAGAAACAGAGCGACAAACTCTAATTATTCCCCGTTTTAATTCATTTAGTTTGATAGTTAAACTAAAAAAGAGTGTGTATAAGAAAAAAAAACGGTTTAGCTTCCTTTACTAAACCTTTTGGTTCGACAATGCCACTAGCATGAGTCTTTTTTTATTTATTTTTTATTTTTTTATTTTTAACAAACTATATTTTCTATACTAAAAGAGAGAGTGTGAACTTAGCTTCACAATACGCTAGCAGTAATGTTGCTCAAACTCGCATTTGGCAAGAATCAATTTATTTTTATTTTTTTTAACAAACGATATTTTTTATACTAATAGGAGTGGGTGGACTTAGCCTCACAATAAGCTAACAGTAATGTTGTTCAAACTCTCATGTGGGAAAAATCAAACCTAAGACCCCATTTACAAGTGAAAAGTAACAAAAATCGAACCTAAGACTTCATTTACAAGTGAAAAGAAATAACACTAGACCATAATATTAAATGATCGACAGACTTTGAGTCTTAAACGTAGATTATAAATTATAATGCGCTTCAAAACGAACCAAACCAAACCGGCTAATCGGGGCACCGCTACCTGGCGCGATGTAATTGAAAGAGAAACGTGCGAGGTTATCCAATTATCCATTATTTTATTTTAACTTTTTGTGAGGGAAATAGCCAAAATCAATAAGCTAATACCAAGTCACCATTTTCATGATGTTTTACTGAGCTCCACTCTCTCACTCCTCTCCAATCTGATTGATCCAAACATCTGAGCTTCGGCCATGGCTTCTTCTTTGCCGGGTCAACTCGTTTCCCTGTTAGAGAATGGGCAGCATCATGTGTGGGAGGACCAGTCGATCATCAAGTGGCGGAAGAGAGACGCCCATGTCCCTTTACGCTGCCATGAATCAGTTGATGGTAAACCACTCATGGCATTTCAATCTCAGTTTCTTATTGCTTTGATTTTTGATTTTCTAAAATTGATTTGTTGAATTTGGTTTTTGTAATTTTTAGTTCTTGGTTGACTGATGGAATTGTTTTTTTTTTTTTTTTTTTTTTTTTTTTTTTGCTGGGGTTTGCTGATGAATGGTTGAAGTATAATTCTTTGATTCAGATTCACATTGCATTTTGGATGTTGTAACGTTCGAATGCATTTAGCTAAATTGTTTACTGTGAATTTGAGGTTCTACACGCAATATATATCGTAAATGATGATGATTTGGTGATTTCATGTAGAATCACACAGCTTTGAGTATTTGTAATATGTATGTATATCCAAGCTCATCAGTTGGGTTAACATATGTGGACAAAGATTTTTGTTGAAGTTTTGATACATAAGGTTTTCAGTGTAAATGCTTTTTCTCAAATATCTAGGATGAATTGTTGTTGGAGCATGGTTGTGATGCAGATTTTTGTATTATCGTACATCTCTCATAAACTGCATCATGGTTTGGTATATGAGCATGGTGTTGCATGTTGCCAATAGTAGGTTGGGGGCACTAGCCGCAGTACGCATGATATTACACGTAACTGGGTAGGATTAGGAACATCGGAAAGAAAACGCAGAACCTAATTGGTTCAATGTTGGACTGAGAGGTTTGGGTGCTTGATTCAGGAGCACCATCATCTAAGTTCTGATTGTACGGCTTACTTTTAGAGGATATCTGATGTTGTTTATGTTGTGCAGGGTCTCTTAAATATTGGTATGAACGCAACAAAGTGAGTTTTGTGGTATCCAACTCTGCTGTTTGGAATGATGATGCTGTTGTTGGAGCTCTTGACAGCGCGGCTCTTTGGGTCAAGGGCTTGCCTTTTGTCAAGTCCTTGTCAGGCTATTGGAAATTCTTCTTGGCTTCCAATCCTAAAAATGTTCCCTTAAATTTTCATGACTCTGCATTTCATGATATACCGTGGGAAACTTTGCCCGGTAGGCATATATGATCTTTCGCTTTTTCTTCTTTATATTTATATGGTGTGTTGTGTTGGAGTGTATACGTGATAGTTGGCTCGCATCCAATCAAGTTCTAGTGAGTAATGGGAAACCATGAAAATTTGTCAAGATATATGTATATCTGTAACTACCCAGAATTTAAGGACCTACCTCTTAGGGAGAGGGTTAGGATCATGCCCATGATTCCATATTTATCTTTTCATCTTCATTTTTAAAAGAATAGGAAATTTAATAGTATTTTTATATTCTTAGTTGTTTATATCCTTATTCCTGTTTATGTTATTCACTGATCATGATTGCTGGGTCTAGGAAATGCAATTTTCATCCGACTCATTACTTTTTTTTCTCTAATGGAACAGTTCCTTCAAATTGGCAGATGCATGGATTTGATCGGCCTATTTATACAAATGTTGTGTATCCATTTCCACTGGATCCACCTTTTGTTCATGTGGACAATCCTACTGGCTGTTATAGGACATACTTTGACATTCCTAAAGAATGGAGTGGTATGATCAATTTGAATGCATTGCTAATTAGTGATGCTTTTGAATTCTTTTATTTTTGTTCTTTGTTTCCCTCTGTTTTTTGTTTCCTGATCTGTATTATATCAAACCTGTACCATGCTATAACTTGTATGCTTCGAAATAGTCTTATTTTCAACTTTGGTAATGTTTTAAAAGTAACCATTTTAAATGTAAATGTATGACATATTGACATGTGACTAGCATTTGACAGGCCGCAGGATTTTTTTGCACTTTGAAGCTGTTGATTCTGCTTTCTGTGCATGGGTGAATGGGGTCCCGATAGGATATAGGTAATTATTTAATGGCTTTTTGATCAGTTAGCAATAAGTGCATTTGTTGATCTTGTAGATTGTAGCACTCAGAGCATAGCAATGTCAAAATGAAGATCATTTTGTGCTTATAAGGGATGCATGGTTAGGTAGGAATCTCTATCAGATACATTAACAAGCTTTATTTCGTGCTAGGTCAGTCAGGACAGCAGACTTCCTGCTGAATTTGAAATCACCGATTATTGTTACCCATTCAGTACGGACAAGAAAATGTACTAGCTGTTCAAGTTTTCAGATGGAGTGATGGCTCTTACCTTGAAGATCAAGATCATTGGTGGTTATCTGGCATTCATCGTGATGTGCTTCTCCTTTCCAAGCCACAGGTTCTATAATTTTCTTGCATTTGTGTTCTTTTCTTTTAAATACCATTATACTGTGTGATTGGCTTTTCTTGGAGCTATTACATAGCGGGAGACTGGGGACAATTATGTATGCATTGATGATTTGCATGGCTGCTTCTCTACATTAAGATCATTCCATCTCTTCTCTTTGCATGTCAGTGTGCGCAGTCATGACCTAGTTCATTAATTTGCTAACACATATTTTACTTTGATTACACATATAGGATTATCTCAACTATTTCCTCAGTAATTTGAGTAATGCAAACTGCTATTTGCTGCTAACTTAAGTTAAAGCATCGCATAACATTAAATCCTAAAGTATAACTGATGTGCAGGTATTCATCGCAGACTATTTTTTCAAATCAACTCTGGCCGAGGATTTTTCTTATGCAGACATACAGGCAAGTATCTACTAATCGAGAAAGGATGTCTTTGTTTTTAATGAGTAATAAAAACAAACAATGTTTTATAGCGTTGTCCGGATGAACCTCTTGCACATTACTGGACAGTAGTTTGTAACCCATTGACGTTTCTTATTGATTATATTTTTGTTATGCTCACTTTTTACTTTGATTATCACAATGTCTGTTAAGTTTATACTGTAACTGATTTATCTGTCATCAATATGATGAGATTATGTTCTCTTCTTAGTACTATTTAACTACATGGAATTTTTTAATTCTTTATTTATTTATTTTCTTTTTGCATTTTTTACCAGGTTGAAGTGAAAATAGATAACTCCAGAGAAACATCTAAAGATAGTTTTCTTCCCAACTACACAATAGAAGCTTCATTATTTGACACGGCTAGCTGGTACAGTACTGATGGATATGCTGATCTGGCCTCATCTAATGTGGCTAGTTTAAAGCTTAATCCCTCACCCAGCACAAGCCTTGGATTTCATGGTTATTGGCTGGAAGGGAGACTGGAAATGCCGAGGCTTTGGTCTGCCGAGCAAGTAAGGACACTTCA